GCAGGGAGTCCTCGTTGTAGAGGAAGAACTCCTCACCCTCCACCTTCACACTGCTGCCACCAAACTCGGGAAGCAGCACCGTGTCGTTCACCTTCACTGTGGGAGTCCAGTCCTTCGTTGCGGCGGCGACGGCAACCACAGTGCCCTCGTTCACCTTGCCGGCCACCTGCTCGGGGATGAGCACGCCAGCCTTCGTTTGCTTCGCCGCCAGTGTGCGTCTCACCAAAACACGCGAGCCAAGCGGCTGCAGCGTCTTCAGGGCAGTGAACGTGGCGCGGAACATTGGCAGAGTGTAGTTTGTCGCGGTTGTTTAGTGGAAAAAAAAAAGAAGTAACTTCTTTGTTTTCGTGTGTTGCAGTGGTCGCTTTGCTTTTCATCGCATGTGCGGCAACGAGTGGAAGATAACAACAAAATGTGGGATAAGTCGGCAGCGGCGCCATGAGGCTGGCAAGAAAAACAGAACAGAGTTACAGGGAAGGAGTAAGAACAGGTAGCTGTTTCTTTCTTATTTGCAATTTTAAGCAAAACAAGCAAAAAGAATAGTGAGGGGGGGGGGGAGCGTGTGCAGTAACGTGTGGGCTAACAGCAAATGCAGAGGACGCCGATGGCAGCAATGTGGGGCGGTGCTCCGTCCGTCAGGACGCCCTGGGCAAGAAATCCCAAGTCCGCCATAGTCTTCCCACGACTTTCCGCGGAGGAAGCGATGACGGCGTCTCTTGAAACATCGTCAATAAAAAATAACGTGACGATCACAGACCGGTGGTCCATTGGTGTTTCCCGAACATAATCAATGTGAAGACGCCGGAGGAGGAGGTCCCCAACGATGGCGTTGACACCTGCATCCAGCAAACGAGGAAAGATCGTTGTTTGATCCGCCAGCGCCGACCGGAAGGCGTTTATGACCAGTTGAATAAGCGCCATCTGATTCACATGCCCGTTAAAGTCTATGTCGCTGTGTCGAATATGAAACTCGCGGCGGTAGGCAACCTGCAGTGGCGCAGCGGAGGCGTGCGTGGGCAGCGGATTCACCGTCTTACAGCATGTTTCGTCTGTGAACACTCCTGAGCGCGCCAGGAAGCCGGCAAGGTCGATGCGAACTGCACGTGGCAAAGTCACTGTCAGCTGGTGTCTTTGCATTGTCTCCAGCAGCATCGCCGCTCTTTCCTTCGGGATGGGCACCGGCTTCCGGCTCACCTTGGAGACAGTCACACCGGTGAGCTTAAACACACCAATCGGGACTTTTTTCGCCTCGTCAGTGGCATCGTAGTGGAAAAGCCTGCCGTAGATGCCGAAGCTGCTGTTGCCGACGTGCGAGACCCAAAACTGACCCCAAAAAAAGAGGGACGCGGGGGTGATTTTGCCGTCAAACTTTGGCATCTCCCCCGTCAGCTGCGCTTCAACGCCGGCAAAAAAAACAGTGACATCCCCGCCAGGCTCGACGTAGCCCTCGTCAACAGCCTCACTTGCACCCTGTGCGCGGTTGCTGCGGGGGCGGCAGTAACACCAGCCGTGCTCCATCGCAAACCGCACACCAAAATTCGCCAGGTGATTCACCGTTGTGACATCAATCTTAGTGTGCTGCAGCGGTACAAAAGGATTCACGGGGATATGATACGTGATCGCCGACCCATCCGAATCAACCTTAAACATTTATTCTTCTTAGCTTGTGTTTCGTCGCCTTCCTTTTGATGTTTGTGTACGTCTATATTATATGCAGCGAACTTATTTCAGGTTCCGATTCAAACAAAAAGTATGTGTGCGCGTGTACATATGTATGTGTAGGTGCCAAATCGGTACCTCAGACAAAACAAAAACAAAAAACGCATTAACGAAGTCTCTAAAAAACCTCCAGCATCCAGAGACATGTACAGTTCGCACGCAAACAATGTCACCACACACGCACACGCATACCCCCTCACCCAGCTGGCAATTAACCCATTAATTAGGTACCACAAATAATAGTAATAATAAAACTTTCATCGCATAGCTCCTTGGCCTCTGTGGAGAAGTCACGCACAGTGCAGCTTATCCCTGCAGCACACCGAGCAGGGAGTCCTCGTTGTAGAGGAAGAACTCCTCACCCTCCACCTTCACACTGCTGCCACCAAACTCGGGAAGCAGCACCGTGTCGTTCACCTTCACTGTGGGAGTCCAGTCCTTCGTTGCGGCGGCGACGGCAACCACAGTGCCCTCGTTCACCTTGCCGGCCACCTGCTCGGGGATGAGCACGCCAGCCTTCGTTTGCTTCGCCGCCAGTGTGCGTCTCACCAAAACACGCGAGCCAAGCGGCTGCAGCGTCTTCAGGGCAGTGAACGTGGCGCGGAACATTGGCAGAGTG